AGTTAATTGGTTAATTGGTTATACCTGTCTCTTATACACAATTTCTTTTAATCTGTAATCAGATGTGGCCATCCCAGTACCAGATTATGCTGACAGTACCCCAGTGGCTGGGACAAATCCAGGTAGGTCTCACCTCTCATTTTTGTATGTCCATAGCATATGTAGGTATCTCCAACACATCTGACTTCCAGAATTGAGAATATACCACAAGGCTTCTTAACAACTCACTAGAAATGTTATCCTTCAAGACTTACTAGCAAGTTTCTACAGCCCAATTTTGGTGAAGAACCTTAGTTACCAACCACTGTGTTATTAGTCTCATACAGTTTATTAACCCAATAAATATATTAGAAAGGCCCAGTGGACCTACACAAAATAACAGTTTATTATCAGAGCAACCTAACAAAATAGTGTAATCAACTTAAACTTTAAGTGTATTATAACAATTGTACAATTATTTATTCACATTCAAATGTTTAATTTTTTTGACAATTGTTTTGATCAACACAAAAGTGATCAACTAAAAGATAAAATTAATGACGATCATAAAGTCACAGTAACAAATCGAATAAAGTCTGAAATTCACACAAATTTGGATAGCCTTTCCTTTGAATTTTTCACACTCAGTACTTCCTTTTTCAAATGCTGTATACTACCCAGCCCCTCCACTAAAATACTATTGGATTTTTCTTTTCTAAACTCAAATATATCAAGATTACAATTATACTTGTAATTATATGACATTTCATTTTTTTTTTTTCATTTAATTTTCTCATTAAAAATCATAAAATATACAAATAGAAGCAAAGTTAAATGAGACTGGCTTGCCAAATGAGATTCAAGATATCTGTCGAGTTGGTCGCCAAATGTTATATAAACATTAAAATTTCATACCATATAAATATACTATACATATTGTTATTTCTATTAATCAATTAGATGTGGTCATCCCAGTAACAGATTATGCTGACTGTAGCCAAGTGGTTGGAATAAATCAAGGTAGATGTTAATTTGTTTATTTTGCTGTATTGATGATGATGATGGTGATGATGATAATGATGATTGTAACATTGATATTAATAATTGTAACAGTGATATTTATGTTTATATTTATTAACTAACAATATATTTAATTGGTTGAAACTTTGAGATGCAACATATTTTTCAGATACTCCTGAACCTTCAGACCACATTGACACAATGAGAGATAATATAGATCACAAGATTTTATGTAAGTTACATGATTATGCCCTTTGTGAGATTCATAATTTTTTGTAGTCTTTTAATTAGGAAAGGAAATTTTATTAGGAAATATGCATAATATGATAAGATACAAAGCTTATATATTATGCATATATATTTTTATATTTATTTTTATTTTGATTTATATAGTATTATTTTTACATTTATAATACTTATTTATACATGGTAGAATTCTGCTACCCATTGTCACTATCACGATCTTTATTCACTCAGTTGCTTATACAGCGAACCCGCTTGCCTGATGCCTGGGACAAGTGTTTTTGATGGTCGGACATCAAGAATTTTAGGGACCACTTGTCTGTGGACAAGCACTTTTAAAATAGCCAAAAATTTTGTTTATCTCTCTTGGCTCTTTGATATAGGCCATTTCACCGCCAACATTGTTGTCTAATGTTATTGACAGTTAGTTGATTAATTGGTTATACTTAACACTTGCTCATTAGGACATGCCCATTATCTTAAAGTTTTTTCCTTTCGGATTGTATTTTGTATTTCTCATTCATACGACTTACGCTGAGGAAGGACACAGGCGTGTCAGAAATATTCGTGTTGAATAAATTTTATGTCTATTATGTCAACCTATGCAATCGTTTTATTTTCGTTTGCGTTTATTCTTCACCATGTAATGCGTAATGCTTTCACAGT